AAATTATTTATTTTTTTTAAGTTTTTATTAATTATGTTTAGAGAATCTTTCAAATATATTTGAGGTAATTTTCATTTTAGCTATCAAAAACTATTAAACCATTCCTATTTCTAGACCAACGTGATATTCCAATCGTGATATTCTATCCCCATACTTGATGAAATGTATAGGAAAAAAAATAAAAATTATAGCTGTGTTATGGTAGAGTTCAGCTAAAATTTTCAGCTTGAACTATAATAATATTATAATACAGCAATAGCAATAATAAGAAGAATAGCAATAACAAGAATAATAGTATTCAGTTAGTTATGAATTAAAAATCTTCACATCTATGTGCAGCTAGGGTATGTGCGAGTCAGTACTCAATTAGCTACACATCATATTTTCACATAAAATGCAGCAGGACATCCTTTTACCTCTCCATATTGCTGCACCCGACTAGGGTATCTTGCAGTTGGCATACCCTTGGTTTGCCAAGTGCAGCATCCATTAACTTTGGCGTTATTCAGAAACAAAACAACGTGAATAAGAACAACAACAACAACAACGCCAACAATAAAGTGAATAAGCAAGTGTTGCGGAAATGATTTGGCGCTGCCTGCAACACGAAGGCGAAGGGTTCAGGTCCTTAGTGCCAGGGCCCGTGGCTCCCTCCATAGTTGCCCCCTACGATTCGCCATAGTTGTTGGGGGCATGGGCTGCTGCCACACGTTTTGGTTGCATGATTGAAAAGTGTTTTGCTATAAATTCAACTTTTCTATTATCTTTATCTTATGAGCAACACGCGCTGCGAGCTGCGAGCTGCGCGAGACGATGGAAGCTGTAAGCTGCAAAGGTGGGAGGATGGCGAGGTGGGCGTGGCAAAAAGTAGCTGCAACGTCCATTATATAGAGATTCGCAGCTGACAGCAGCGACGCGGGCTGAGACAGGGGAGCAAGCAGCAGGCGTTGCACGTTGCAAGCGATGCCTTCCAATTGGAAATTGAAGCTTCAAGTTGGAGTTGGAGCTGGAGTTGGAGCTGGAGCGGTAGCTGCAGCTGGGAGTTGAATGTGCTGCCAGCCGCTTTCATAATTGTTTCCTCTTGCCGCTATGTGGCAGGAAACACAGTGTGGCACTGTGCAACAGCAGCGGCAGGGCGTGCGTGCGGGGGCGGTTGGCATGAGCTCAAAGCGCTGTTGAGGGTGCCACAACCTTTGAAGAAGATGAACGCATGCACTGCAAGAAATCAAAAGGTAAGTGTGAGCTAGAGCTAGAGATGTTTGGCTATGAGCAAAGTTATAAACGTAACTTTTTATTAAATATATAATATA